GACAGCAGAACAAATAGGTTAGCCTGGAACAGCAAAACATATTTAACAGCAGTGGGAACAGGATCACAAACCCAACTCAAGGAACCTATGTCAGTGCAAATCCCACTCCCAAACTGAAGCTGGGAATGACACTCCCCTTCTTTTCAAAACTCCCCATGACTTCAGTCCCCCAGGGTATCTTATCTTAACCCCGCAGATGGTTACTCCAAATACCTTTGTCTTTCTCTCCCTCCTTATTCTGTACTAGTTGTGTGGTAATAAAATACACGCAACTATGGAAAAGCACAGGCAGCTAAAGGTTTTTCTGGAGTGCAAAGTATAATTTCCAAGCCGTCCAGCTTCCATCGTATGTCATATCCTTCCACCAAGTTTATCTCTCAACACATTTAGATCAGTAAGAAACCTGAAGAGGAAATATCTTAAGATGACTTTCATTCTGCATAGAATTTCCAAAACTATTTTGCAGCACAAATAAATAAAAAATATTTGTCCCAGTACAGTGTGAACAGAGACACTTAAGGGACTTTGGTTATATGATTTTATTTCCTCCTAGCTACTAAAACCAGAACACCTCCGTTCATAAATCAGACAATACCTTCAGTTTTATAAACCATCCGAAAGACCAGGAATGGCAGGAGTAATAGAGTACTTGAAAAAGGACAAGCAGAAGCAGTGGATAAAATGAAGTCCTACTTTCACGTATGCCCTTACGATCTGCAATCTGTGCTTAGAGGAGACTTGCGATATGGATTTTAAACACATATTAGAACTTTTCCTGTCCTAATTCAAGATTTTGCATGTCCCCACATGCAATTTTTTTCTGTACTTCAGGAGAGTGTACTATGGGTAAGACTACTACTTTAGAGACAAATAAAAATAACAGATTCCTCTCGTGACATGTTTAAATTTTAAGCACTCAGTCCTACAAAGCAAGTATCAGGTCTTTAATGCCCAAAAGAATCCTTGTTAGTAACAATCTGCTCACTCAGATTCCTTTGTATCAAAATGGCCTAAATTAAAAGTGCAGGAGATGACAAAAAGCTGAGGAAGAGAAGGAAATCACAAGGGACACGGGCTCAGTTCTGCTCCAGATAGCTTTACAGCAGATCCAGCAACAAGGATTTCCTAAACATGCACAAAGACAACAATCGCTTTCCAAATTAATGTAGCTGACGTACCATGGTTAGCTACCTAGGAAGCTGGACCAAGAATAAATCAGAGCTGTTGCAAAAATTACGATCCTGTTTACTGAGGTTCAGGGAAAAATAATCACCCCTGAATGGACGAGAGCCAAAGAGCATTACTGTGCAAGCTCATTCCTTAAATTACAACATCTCATTATCATTAGGTTTTACAGAAGCTTGACCATAACATTATCACATTAGGTAGGTTTTAACCTCAAAAAAAACAATAATTAAGGTAGCTATTAGTACTTCTCTGAAGAGGATCAGGACTATTTTGTGTTCAACATACTGAGAACAACTCAGTTCCTCAATTAAGAGGAACAGTATTTTCTCCTAACTTTGTAAATATCATAAAACCACAGATAAGAGGTTTTTAATGTCAGTAAGAACTTTGAGAGTCATTTGTTTTTCTGTACAAATACAGAATTTAATCTTTTTTTTTTTTAAATTAACTCCTTGCTCAGCACTCAAATGAATCAATACCATTTCTTACACTTTTATCTAGATAATCTGTTACCCTTTCGATTAAAACTCCTTTAAGAAAATTGGTAGACATGGGTATTTCATAAAAAGAAAACTTTTCATCTATATTCAACACAGGGCACTGTCAACTAGAAATTAGCCAGTTTTATAAGTGAAACAAAAGCTGTTTCAACATAAAACACTTTTATAGTACAAATCTTAAGAAACAATATTAAGGAAAACAAGAAGTACATTTATCCTCTTTCAACTGATGAAGAAATGAAGGTCCTGAGCAAAGAAGTTACTTGGCCAAAGTAGTAAGTCAAGAAAGATTTAAATAAAAAAAAAAAAAAAAGGCATAAAAAAAAAAAAAAAAAAAAAGGCAAATTCACATATTAGTTTTCTCCTTTGGTACAGAACCTGTGATAGAAACATGGAGTATACAGGTATATAAAGTTATATATGCAGGTATATATATATTTTTATATACATGTATACAAAAAGTTGTATATAAAATCCAGACTCCTAATGTAATTGTCTACAAAATCTTGAATACAAAGCACACAGATTTTTCTAAAGAAACATGTTAAAATCAAAGAAGAAAGAGGAAGAAAAGGAACATTATTATAAATATGCAAAACAAGGATGATAATTTCTACATTTATGCTCTAATAAATTCTACCATACAAAAATGAAATCTTGATCTGTTTATTATAGGTATAGTCTATTCTTGACTGCGTAACCTAATATTCAGACAATCCCATTTAAGAGGCAGAAGATAAAAATAATTCTTCTACATACAATCTAAAAAACTACCATGATCTGAACCATAACTGTAACATTTGCTACTACATATCCAATAGTGGACAAGAGAATATGTTGTACTTTAGTGTTGAGAGATAAAATACTTTTTCTTTCTGCTCCATCGCTGGTCAGCATTTTTGCAGAACCATCGGGGTTGGAAGGGACCTCTTGAGACCATCTAGTCCAATCCCCTGCTCAAGCAGGGCCACCTACAGCAGGCTGCCAAAGACCATGACCAGTTGGTTTTGAGTATCTCTACAGATGGCTACTTCAAAACCGCTCTGGGTAACCTAGACCAGTTTTGGACCATTCTCACAGGAAAAAAGTTGTCTTTTGTGTTCAGATGGAATTTCCTATTTTTTCAGTTGGGCCCATAGCCTCTTGTCCTGTCAGTGGGCACTACTGAGAAACGTGTAGCTCCTTCTTCTTCATTCCCTCCCATCAGCTATTTATAAACTTGGAGAAGATCCCCCCTGAGCCCTCTTCTCTAGGCTGAACAGTCCCAGCTCTCTCAGCCTCTCCTCACAGGAGAGATGCTCCAGTCCTTTCACATCATCTTCATGGCCCTTCACTGGACTTGCTCCAGTATGTCCAATGACTCTCTTGTACTGGGGAGCCCAGAACTGGACACAGCACTCCAGGTGTGGCCTCACCAGTGCAAGGAGAGGGCAAGGCTCACCTCCCTCAGCCTGCTCGCAAGTCTCTGCCTAATGCAGCCTAGGACACCATTAGCTTTCTTTGCCACAAGAGCACTTTGCTGTCTCATGGTCAGCTTGTTATCCACCAGGATCCCCAGGTTCTTCTCTGCAGAGCTGCTTTCCAGCAAGTTGTTCCCCAGTGTGTACCGGTACCTGGGGTCATTTCCCTGCACAGACAGGACTTTGTATTTCCCCTTGTTCAACTTCATGAGATTTCTCTCAGCCCATTTCTCCATCCTGTCCAGGTCCCTCTGAATGGCAACATTTGGTGTATCAGCCATTCCTCCCTGTTTTGTATTGCCTGTGAACTTGCTGAGAGCACACTCTGTCCCGTTGTACAGCTCTTTCATTAAGATATTAAGTAGTATTGGCCCTAGTATCCACCCCTAGGGCACAACACTGCTGACGATCCTCTGGCTGGGCTTTGTGCCACTGATCACAACCCTCTGGGCCCAGTTGCTCAGCCAGTTTTCAATCCACCTCACTGTCAACTTATCTAACGTGTACTCTGTCAGCTTATTTTATAAGATATATTCTCCTGCAGATCCAAATTTAAACATCTTCTCCATCACTATTCACGTACAAGTAAAAACAGGTGTTCCACTTTATCCCAGTGAAAGAAGATCCTACCCACAGGTAAACCAGAAGTAAAGTACTCCTGAACTTAGAATAAATAGGCAAAGGCAAACATGCTATTTTAAAAGCCAAAACAGATGTAACTAGTCTTAACTGCAGTGATAAAAATGGAAACAACTCAAATTATGGCTTTAGTTTGGCTCACAGCCCTCATCTTCTGAGCATTAGATACACATGGACTGTGAACAGCTGCAGAAAGTCTTGAGGAACATTTATATGAATTAAACTACAGTAAAACAAAGTGTATTCTAGTGTTAGACACAGTATTTGCTAATGTCTTGGATACATGATCTCTTCCAGGTAAAAAAAAAGAAATCCATCATGCACTTTGAGGACTCTGCAGCAGCATAAATTTGCATGATAAGGCTCTGATCCTATCTTTCATTCTGCATGGGCAGACTGCATGTTGTCCTGCTGCTGCTGCCGCAGCCATTGAAGCTAATATCTAATGCCAGTGAGGAATTGCTTTCACTTTAATATACACACATAGGACTGATGCCCAAGCAAGCACTTAAAAAATAAATGAAAGAGAAACTTTTGCTCCACAATCATCAACTCTTATATCCGTTTACGTCGTACATATATACTTTATGAACATCCTTCTAGGAAAAGGCAAGTCACTGTATTAATTTTCCATATACACAGCAGCAATAGCAATAATGAAGCATTAATTATGGTACCTTATTTTCTATCCATTGTGAGAGCTATTTATTGTACCTTAGCAAGACCTGCCGCACAACTGTGAACAAAACAAAGCCACACAAAAGTAAAAGACAAACTAATTCATTTCATAAAAAAGTCACATACTTCAAATGCAGCATTAAAACACCCCATATGAATGAGAGAAAAGCTTTTTCAGCCTAAAAATATAGGATTAAAAAAATAAGAAGAAATCTGACTTTGACCTGATTATAAAAGTTAAAAGCCTTTCTAAGGCTTTTCATAGTCTCACACTTAAAAGCATATTTATTTGCTTAGACTGACTTTAAAACCTCTGTATGAATAACACTTACTGACTTAATGGTAGAGACCTGCATGTGAGCCAAATGTTAATGTTGAGCTATTTTACTTCTAAAATCCAGACAAACAGGCACTACTACAGTAATTCTCACCAAAGCCAAATGACTTTGCTTATTATGACGAACACGGATACAGAGATTTTTTTTTTTTCCCCAGCATTAGGATCATGATATGCAGCTTCTGTTCACAGTGCTTTATATTGTTACTAGCAGGGCTAAAATTTATGAACGTCACTTCACTTGCACCAGAACTAAGTATTTTGGTCTAAACAGTAAATTTAGGTTAAATCTATGCAAATTAGTCAAGGTAGAGATATCAAGAAGGCAGTAGCTAGCCCTAAAAATCTTCATTTTAAAGTTGCTGGGACATATTTTTCTTCTGATAAAATTTTTCAATTAAATAAGAAGTTTACTACAAATTTATACTTCAAAAATTTTCAAAGTTTTAAATAAATATTTGAGTTCCATAAACTTTTCTGTTTTATAATTAAGATCTGTAAATTTCTGTCATAACCCCAAAAATATTAACACTTCTGAATTTTAAAAAGAAAAGTTTCTAATAAAATTTCAAATCCTTATGTTAGTTACCACACTGTAAAACATTACAAGAATCCAGATTGAATGACTCATGCTGAACATGCAACTTGGATTTTTCTGAGTCAAACCTTGACATGAAAACTGACAACATGTATGAACACAAAAGCTGGCACGCTAGCTAACAGCAGAATCATAAAGCACTTGATGTAGCTGAAAGCCAGAGTCACATTCACCCAGCCTGCATCCGCTCTGTTAATTTCTTGATCCCATGCATTTGCAGGTACTTAACTGCTCCCCAGCATTTGCAGCTGCTGCAGTTACACTCTACCCAGCATAACAGCCTGGTGTCATCCTGTATGCTTGCACTCCTGTCACTTTTCATGTGATCACAGCTAAATCTTCTCTTTAGCAGCAGCACACAAGCACCAAACAGCCACCAGAGATATGCTTAACTTGAAGTCTTTGTTACGGTTGGTGAAAAAAACAAAACAAAACAACACAACCCACAACCAGAAAGCCTCCTAAAAAGCACATTCGACAGGATTGCAACTAATTTGTACATGACTGGAAAGCCATCCCTCTTCAAGACTGGTTTCCTCTCACAGATGGTGCTACTCAAGGTCCACTACAGCTGTAACTAACGGGTTTCCCTTCCTTTCTCCCCTCCGAGGGAAAAACATAAGCAACTGAAACACAGCAGCCCTCTCTGCTTTTGACACTGCAGCCCGTCCCCAGCTCCTTTCTCATGACATTGCAGCCCTGTGCTTTCTCCAAGAGCCAGCACCAGTGCCTTGCCATCATGGAAAAAAACCAACAGCTAGGTTGTTTTTCCCCACGACTAAGGCCTCGGATTGAAGTGGCAGCCATAGGACAGCCTGGCCGTTCACAAAGAAACAAACCCAGGCAGTGAGAAATCATCACCTAGAAGGGGAAGATGGAGATAAATGTTTTGTGAGCCGAGACACCACCCTTTTACTGGAGGAGCTAGGCTGCTGCCGTGCAAAGGAACTGCAAGCAAATAGGTGTGCTCCGGCAGGTTTCAGAGATTAAAATCTTGAATCCTGAATCAGAGTAGCAAAGAGGTTTCTTTTAGAAAGAATTAGTATTTTTAAAGGGGGCACAGATAAATGTGAATTTCATTATAAAATTCCATAACCACCGCAAACTGACAATAAAAAGAAAAAGATAATACAGGAAGCCACAAGAAACAGCATTACCATGTTCTTAAGCATAAACCCTAGCACAAACAGGTCTGAGGACTGGCACCTCCTCGTGGACAAATTGTGTGGCACCCACCAGTCACCATAATTCTGTTCAAGACCCAGCTCTGGGAAGCAGAGAGGGCTAAATGATGGAGCTCAACCATTTACCCTGAATTACAGCCTAACTGCTAAAACTGAAAGCTTTTAGTACACACCACAATAAATGAAAATCTAGACATAATTATCCAACTTGGGCTGAAAACAAAGCTATTTTGGGGGATTTAGATGCATATGAAGAATTCCAGGGGGTATTTGCACAATTTGAAGAAATTATGAAACTGAACTAAGTGACTGAAAACAGCTCTGCATAAAAGGAAAGATGAGATGAGGCCCGCCCTTATGAACAAGAGAACATTTGTAGATTGAGACAGAACTATATATGACAAAGAATAATGACCACTTAATCCCACAAACTTTACACTTTAACTGTTGAGCACAGTCCAAAGTCTCTGGATAAAGACAACTAAATGCTGACATAAGTTGCTGCAACATAAAACATAGTAATTGATATCACTCCTCAGATTTCTGGCGTGGCTCTAGCACAGGTACCCAACATGCTAAATATCTGGGTTCAGTAACAATCTTATAAAGCCACCTTCATGTGCAATCAATCCTTTCCACAAAGCTCACTTGCTGCATAAAGGCATTTCTACACCTGGCACCTGCTTGAGTTAAGGCAGACAGCTGTGTGACCTCTGTTTCCTTCACAGCAGGCAGGTGGCTCAGTGGAAGCAAGGGGAAAAGGGATTCAGTCCAGAAGTCAGGAGAGAGAAATCCATTAGAAGTGTATTTACAAGAAATAAGCGCAAAGGGCCTTGCATAATGAGTAAAAAGAGGAAGGCAGTCACAGCTGGAAAAGGGATATGTTTTAGCTCCAAATGCATTTTATAGTTTTAGTTATGAACATCATAACTCCAAGCCATGGCTGTATAAGGAGTCTCATTGCTTATGTATTTAGGAAATTTGCTTTTACAACTCATACAACTCCTCATAACTCCCAAGAAAAAATGTTCAAGTTACTAGAGGGCAGATATATTAAAAATTTAGCCCAAAATAAATATGTTCACAGAAACTAACAATCCACCTTTGATAGACCGTAGCTAGTTCAATACATGATTTCCTTAGCATTAAACATTTCATGATGCTAATTTACTTTTTTGCACACAGAATAGAATATTTCAGTTGGAAGGGACCTACAACAACCATCCAGTCCAACTGCCTGACCGATACAGGGCCAACCAAAAGTTAAGGCCTATTACTAAAAGCATTGTCCAAACACCTCTTAAACACTGACAGCCAGGGGGTGTCGATCACCTCTCTAGGAAGCCTGTTCCAGTGTTTGACCACCCTCTCAGTAAAGAAATGTTTCCCAACGTCAAGTCCGATCCAATCTGGCTTTCAAAAATCAGACCTCTATAAAATACACATATAAATAAGAAAAAAAAAAAAAACAAAACAGGTTCATAGAATCACATAATCGTAGAATAGCTGTGACTGCAAGTGAGCTCAGGAGGACTCTAGTGTATCCTCCTGCTCAAAGCAGGGTCAGCTACGAGACCACAGCAGGCTGCTCAGGGCTTTAATCAGTCTCATCTCAGAAACTTCCCCATCTGCTGCACAACATCCCTGGGAAACCTGCTCCAGCACTCAACCACCCTAAAGATAATTTAATATAAAGGAAAGGATTAGGAAAAGTTTGGTGCTTTCATATTTAAGTAAAACTAGGAAGGGCCCACAAGGTTTATACAAAGGAGACTATGAAAGAGTGAAAGAGCAACAACAGACAAAAGGAAACTACAGCAACAACATGCTGTAGAAACAGCACAG